ATTTTTGTTGGATAGGCCCAGAGCCTTTAAGAATTTGTACTGCTTTGGAAGTGGACTGGACTTCCAAAAAATTCAAGACGCCTCAGAAATTTTTATTTTTATTTTCTTGAAAGAACAAACTGATACTTCATGTTTGTCATGTGATGAGGACAAGCTCTTGATTGTCCATATTTATGGCTGTTCCTGATGCAGACTTCCCACATGGGAGCGACCAAACACCCACTTTTGTAAGCAGGAGGACAAGTTTCTTGGTGCCACATATTTATGTTTATCTCTATCATCTTCACAAAAATAGAAATATTCAGTAATTAAATTTTGAAATCTCTATCCTCCACATGATTGAATAAGTGAAAGGTGCACTAGTACTATTCTTAATTGGTGTGGAACAGTACAACAACAGGGAATTGTGCAGAGAGGCCTTGATGGTTTGGATAAAGTTTATTTCACTCAGTTATCCAGGAAAATGACGATAAGAACAAAGACATGGGTTTTAACTTCTAGTAGTCTCACTTCATACTCATCTTACAACATCATCTTCAACTTAAGGAGTAAGCGTGAGTTATTATGAGTCGTTTATATGCAAATTTGATTCCAGAATGCATCAAATGTTTATTATTATCACTGTCGAGCACGTAAGTCATCAAACATATCATAACCACTTACGAAACGAATGAACATCTAACATGTCACATCCACTTACGAATCAACATCTAACACTAGCATACTTTGGAAATACAATTGAGGTATATATGCAATTAAGGCTTAAAGTTTTGATTGCAAAGTGTTACAAGATTCCAAGAGAGTGGGCATTATGAGAATCTTCAAGGATACTGAATATCCATTGAAATTTGGAGGTTTTCACTTAGGACCACGCTAGTGGTAGCCACCTGGAGCTGAAAGGTGAACACTTTCTCTCTCAACTCTTATGAGAGAGGAAAGAGAATCCTATGATCATCAATTCATCAATTCATCAATTCATCATATCCTACCACTGTCCACTTGCTAAGCAAAGCCCCAAGAATATGGGTAAAATCTCACACCACCTCACGAGCCCAGATGAGCGTGGAGGAGGAACAGTGATGACCTTATCTCAATCTTGGTCCGCAAGGTCATGGTTCCCACGAAATAATTGGGCAAGGATCCACGTGGCGTCCAATCACACCATTCCTTCCGCCCTGTCGAAATCTGCGTGTAGATACTGGCATCGCCAGTGGTCGGTGCAGCTGGCCCTCGTACACCCGTCCGTACGATGTACTCTTGCTATACGACAAATCGTGATTGTGGTTAAGGTCCCTCTTTTGGTCTTGGACCCACCTGAGCTTACTTACCAGCTGAGCTGGGGTCTATTAATCGCCCACGTGTATCGCTTTCTTTAAATAATGTAATATTTATAGAGTTATTCGTTTTATTTCTTTATAAATTTGTATTTGAGTCCCTTAATTTTCAAAATTATTCTCATAGTTCTTCAACTTCAGTTTTGTTAGGAAAAATGGTCTTATTGTTAATTTTGTTAAGTTTTCTATTAAATGCAGGGATAAAATAATTTGTTTATATTTTTTAAAATTTAAATTGATTAAAATATGAATAAAATATTTTTTTTAAAAAAATTCAAGTTTTTAGGAATAAGAACTAATTTTTAATTTTCATTTGACAGAGGATAGGAATAAGATTTTTAAAAATTTTAGTTTTTAATTTTTAATTTTATTTTTTGGGTGAAAGGAGTATTCATAATTGGAAATTTAAAATAATACAAAATACCATTTTACCCCTGCATTTAACCACAAAAAAAAAGTTAACAAAATTGATAGCAGGACCATTTGTCCTAACGAAACTAAAGTTGAAGGACCACTGGAATGATTCTGGAAATTTAGGGACTCAAATGCAAATAAGGTCAAAATTCAGGGACTAATAAAACGAATAACCCAATATTCATATTATACACATAAGTATGTATTTTTTAATAATATTTTCATTTTTCATACACATTTTAAAGAATAAAGAATAGAAAAAATACATATTTTTTAAAAATCAAACTATAATACACGTACATACATATTTTCATGTTTAATACACATATCTTAAAAAAAATTCAATAATACAGACAAAATTCACGTATTATACACATATTTTTCATGTATTATTGAATAAAAATAATTAATTATATTAAAATATCATATAGTGGCCAAACGTTTTAGTTGTATCTTGCCAAAATTTTGCTAAATAAAACACGTATGTATTTTATTCGTGTTTTTCCCATTTCATATTTTACTAACTATCATATTCACAGTCTGACAATATAAATATACGTCTAAAGATTTAAATATGAAAATTGATTACTACTACCAAATGATGACATGATAATACCATATTTATTAGAAATTTAAGTATTACAATAAGAAGTTAAGGATGAATGACATATGTTAGAGAAAAATAAATTTTAATATGATTTGTTGCTTGTAGTATTGCTTCTTTGCTCAGTGGTAAATATGATACAAATAATTGTTGTATTGGATATTCAAACTTTGAACAATGTTACAATTATGAATTACATTCAACAAGTTTCATAAATTATAGTTGTGACAGAGATTAAAGTTATGTTTAGTGAAAAATTAGTATATCATAATAGCTAATTTCAAGATTTTGGTTTTCTGAGATTATCATATTAGTGATTCCCCGAAGCCTACGGCAAGCATTACATTTTGAGGATAAGTGTGTTATTATGAACTAATTAAGTAGGTTAACTGCTCATCTAATTAAGTTGACCAATTCATTGAGGTAGATAAGGTCAAAACAGAGTCTGGGACCCAATGTTTGTTAAGGCCCCCAATCAGCATTTGTCAAAGCTTGGTCCATATGAGCTGGATGGGACATGGGTTACCTATTCATGGTTCAATCAAATTGAGAGAGGGAGAGAGAGAGAGAGAGATTTGGCCAGTTGGAGAGAGCTCACAATTTAATCTTGGATGGTGGTACACACTACTAGACACAGCATCTGTATCCCAATTTGGATGGGTTTGATAGTAACACCTGCAGGTCCCTAATGAATATCATTTGGATGGGCTATATTAATAATGAGTGATCCAAGAGGGAATGCACATGGTTTTAAATTTTTTACCTTCATTTTCAATGCTACCATAAGTTGCCGGAATTAGCTGTTTAGTGCGTGTTGGCAAAATCTAACTGTTGATGCATTGTGAGTTCTATATTCATCAATGTCCAAATTTTATCTATGTATGCATATAGACGGCCGACCACAACATATGTCTATGCATATATGTACATGGCACTATTGACTTTAGTACTCATAGACCATGCACCAATTATTATGGTTAAACTTGTTGATTATACTTTATGCGGCTATGGATAAGTTTAACACCTATTATTGTGGCCTTTTATTTTGACCACCACATGCGTAATATACTTTGCTTTCCTTAATTTATAATTAGGGTGATGAGCTATTCAAATATAATAAGATGCCTATATTAGGGCACATTGTGGTTCACAGTGATTTATACATAAAAATAGGAGGAGAAAAAGAAAAAGAAAAAGAAAAAGAAAAAGAAGACAAATGAAAAGGAAGATGGGAAGGAAGCTAACATTGGAACTTTGAAAGGAGGACCAAAATTAAGAATATACATCAGAATTCACAAGTGACAATATTTAAAATGGAGCTTTGAAAGAGCAATTTAGGTTGAAGTGCGTGTGCACGTGCAGACATGTGTGTAAATATGTGGGGAATTCTGCATATGCATACGCACACGTGCCCACATGCGTGTGTGAGTCCTTAGAGGTAAAGAGTAAATCCCTGCACAGTACTGTTCTTTCTTGAAAAGGAGAGAGAGAGAGAGAGAGAGAGAGAGAGAGGTTTAAATGTGAGTGCATGTGGATTCATAAACACCCAGTCCAGTCAACTACACTTTGCCCCAAGAAATTTCTACAGTCTCCACTCATGCGGTCATGCCTAACCTTATTGTGTTAAAACCCTTTTAATAATTCTCACTTGATTCTTGAGACTAGACAATTACATACAAATAATACACCAACTTCTTGTTCCTTACCATATGATACTATAGAGTTTATGCATGCGTGACGTGAATGATTATGAACTGTTAATTCGTATGTTATATAGATTTATAATTGACACGTAATAGATTGCCTTATACCATATAATCTGATGATATATGAAAAGATCTTGATAAATCTAGTAGTATTGTATTCATAATACTACTCTTCCTAACTATTTTATATGTAGTCAATCAGTTGGAGTTGAAATTAAAATTTGGTTCCCTAGGTATTTTCATTACAAAAACTACAAACTAGTTAGCTTCCAAGTTCCTTTTTCAAGTGGGAAAGGCAGGAGATTCCCAAGTCCACTTGGCTGAACAGTAAACACTACACATAAGCTAACTAATATCAGAAAGGATGGTAAAAGTATCTTGAAGACTATGTGCAATTAAGTCCAATAACATGCAGCATATACTATTGCTTTACATCTACTAACTAAAACATCTCTAGCAGGAGGACCACAGATAGCTCAAGAAAAATCTCATACTAAAACCACCCATGCTGATCCAATCAAGCTATGTGCTCAACAAAAAAAAGGCAAACACATCAGAGAGAGAGAGAGAGAGCCAGAGAGGCATGAATGGTACCGCTATGAAGGGATAGGTGTCCATATACTGAGGAAGGGGAAATGGACGTGTACCCCCGTTTTGGTTAAGAGGGTACACAGTGCCTCGCTGTCTTAGCATGTGAAGGGATATTGTGTGCCTTATTTTTGATATTTCTCTCTCTTACATGCACCCACTATAACCCTCCCAACTGGCATTTTTGATTCATTCACATACAGAGCTGAATGGGAAGAGGAGAGTCAGGACAAAACAAGTCTAAGATTTAACTTTCTTTTTTATACCTTTTTATTTCTTACCACACTCCAAAAACTCCTATATCTTCACATAACTTGGTATGTGAAGTCCAAATATAGAGAGACACATTCCATCAGTCCTCCATTGAGATATTCATCTTTATCTACTTAGTTACTTAGAGAGAGAGAGAGAGAGAGAGAGAGAGAGAGAGGGAGTTGTTGATATTCATCTATATATATATATATATTCAGTTGTTCACCTCTCTTTGTGTTATTAAAAGGAAAATCCATTAGAGGGTATTCTTTGTGAAAAAAGAAGAGGAAAAAGATGAATGTGTTGTCCTCAGAATGCAGTAGTGGTTGTGAGTCTGGTTGGACTCTATACTTGGAACAGTCTAATTTTCTTTCTCGAAATCCAAGTGCTTCACATAGAGATAGTGGTTTCTGTGATGAGTACAAGGATAAAAGAAGTAAACAAGCTGATGGTGATGAGGGGGATGAAGAAGAAGAGGACCAGTCAATGGTTTCTGATGCATCTTCTGGGCCTCCACATTTCAATGAAGATGAAGTTTACTTAGACGATAATACTAATAATAATATTAATGGGTGTTTCTGTCCTCCATCCAAGGATCTTGGACCTTTGAAGTTTAGAGGAAAAAAGCAGAGAATCAAAGAAAAAGGTAGGCGCTCATGTGGTGATCAACAACAACAACAACAACAACCATCTTTTCTAGATGACACTGCCAGCTCCCCTGTCTTCAACTACTCCAAGGTAATTAATAATTAATTAATCACAGTTTAACTTCATTAATGTGACTAATTTGATCAACATGATCTGATCCATTGTTAATGGGATTAAATTATATTTGATGGTTGCTTGACAAATTTGCAGAATAACTTCATTGTGTCCAATAATCAAGCTTCTGGGGGTAGTAGTAGTGTCCTGGATTATTCACAAGGCTTCTCATCTACTCATTTTCAGGTACTTGGTTTTCTAGTTTTGCTTTTGTTTTGGTTTTTTTGTGTCTTTTGGGTAAACTAACTTCTAGGTTCTTCTTGCAGGGGAGATCTGCATACCAAGACCACTTTGGTTTCCTACAATCTACTCTATCTGGAAATAACCTTCAGAACAACCAGTTGAGTGCCTATTTTTTATTTTTAGTTTAGTTAAAATTATGCATCCATTACAAATACAATGCAGTGTTTCCTTACGTTCTTTAGACTAAAGGAGACTGTTTCTTAACATGCAGATGGTTTCAAGGGTAGGGGATTGGCATGAGATGAAGGAAAGGGATATCTTCATCATCAGTTGCTGGTCTCTTCTTGTTTCTACCACTACAGCAGCTGCTGTATTACTTTCTCAAGTAGAGATGGTGGGGAGAGGCTGCAAAAAGTAGAAGGAATTGGATCTCAAAAGGGATCTTGCATGTTCCTTTTTCTTTTCTTTTTCTTTTTTCCTTTTACCTGTCAATGCAGTGGGAAACAACCTAAGAGAGAAGAAGTTAGAAATAAATTTTCATGCTTCCAAAATTAAATTAAATTTTTTGTCAACTAGCAGGTGGTGCAAATGAGCTGGCCTCTCTTGCTTATCCCTCTTTTCAACAAAAAGAAAAAGGCTAAACCTTTTATTTAGGCAGCCTATGTGTGACCAAACTGGCACTATTTTTTTTCCATGGAGCTCCATGCTCTTTTAATCATGCCATTGCAGTGAAAATCAACTCAGCTAGTAGAAAACTATGGAATGAATAAGAAGGCCTTAAACATCAACAATCTCTCCATAAAAAATAACAAAAAAATTTGTCAACTGCCATCATTCTCCACATAATTCATGTACTTTAGCGGTCCAACAAAGTAGATAGATGTGTTTCATTAATGATTTAACCTGGCTAAATCAAATAGTAGGACAAAAGGAAGCATGCACCTAACTCTGTCGGCCAGTCTACAAAATATATGATCAAAAGAACAGGCTAATACTAATCATCATCAGATTTGATTAGGTGGGATTTGCTCAAATCTACATCTTGAAAAGCTTCCTACCTATCCATAATAAGTAAAACCAAATATTGGAAAAGGCTTAGGCATTAATAAAGACAAGACCCTTCCTGGCTTCATGTCCCTAGAGTCCAGACAAGGCTCCATCCATGCTGAATTATATTCTTCTTCTCCCAAAAAAAAAAAAAATTTAAGGCTTAAAAATGCATATGAAAATTGGGACAGGATGATGCAAAAGTGTAATGAGTGATGGGCAGCCTGATGAGAGCACAGAAATGAGGGAGGGAAAGGCCAAACTTGATGTTGGAAACTTGGAATATTTCATATGCATTTTCATGACTCTTTTTCTAAACCCAGGAGATCCTGCCTGAGATCTCCCTGACCCAATGGAACATGCCCCATCTTGTTTAATATGTGCTCTTTATCTCATTTGGAAGGATCCCATTTTAAACAAATATTTTAAACACTATTTATTAATGTAATTTTGCACACTTCAAGTCTGTCTGCTGTGAAGCTGTCATTGGACTTTATGTCTTGCACAATTCTGTGTCATTCTTGGCATTTTTAAATTCCTAAAACTATTCCCAGTCAGTTCCCAATTGAAATAAAAACTTTGTTTTCTTTTCAAAAAGGCTGAACAAGGATAAAGATGAGATAAGAAATTGGGAATTTAGGATGTCAAAGCTGTCAAAATTCCAAGTCCTACACACATGTTCTTTTGTATTTTTAAATTTGGTGGTTCTGCAATGGAAGTCTTCCATGCAGTCAATCAAAAACCACCCCCAAAAAACAAAAAACAAAAAAACAAAAAATATATAAATAAAGAAAACATTGAATTAAAAATTGAAGATATATAAAAGTGATGGTTAGTCATATTTTGCTTCACTGCATTCCATCATATTGCAGAAAAGCACAGATAATTGGATAAGAAGAACCCAAAAGGTATGGGAAAACATCATTTGCCCTTCCAACCACCTACAAGACAAAACCTTCAATTCCTGCAAAACATATACACAAAGCAAGGGAAGGGAGGGCTTTGTTGTTTCTTACTTGTGTTGTTGTAACATTGAGCTCCTGCCAAAACAATGCCATTTTAATTCCGAGTGTTCCCATTTCCTAAGACAAAGTCTCAGCACCTCTTATCATCTCTGCCATGGACCTGCATGTCATGATACATATCTGTGCAAATTATGAACTAAGTCAGAAGGTACCTGCACTGCACCTGCAGGTAAGAGGAATACCAAGATCTACCACCGTCTCAGAATTACAAATTTTGATGTATACAGAGTGAAGCTAACCAAAAAAAAATAATCCTGGAAAATAGTTTTCAAGATATAAAAATGTGTAGATTTACTGCTTGATAGAACTGGGAAGCACCACTGCAAATAGTTTGGAACATAAAAGCACGTTGGGCGAGCCAATGACAAATTTCAGTCTCTGCTTGCCCAATATCATATGGCAACATGCAAAAACTTCGACTTACTGCTTCCAATATAACTATTGCAATATAGTTTCTTTTTTCGAGAAATTTCACATTTGTTATTGGGCCTTTGAGGCCCAGAGTTGTTGATTCTGGGCCCTTGTTGAGATAAGTCTTGTATACCCAGAATTTTTATATATATAATAAAAAATAAAAAACACCTGCAAGGCATTCCCCAACAAACAATGAGTTGTGAAAAGTGAAAACCAAAAGTTCATTAAAAAATGCATGTAAAACTGTAAACTGTAAACCAGGAGCTCTTCTTCCATGTCAATCCCACTCTGCTACAAGCCTTCTGGGCTCTTGCTACATTCACCAAGAACCAGAGGCCCCTTACTCTGCAATCACAGCAGCAGCTTCAGCAAACAAGAACAAACTCACAACAGCTGGACTGGGTTGAAATTTATTCGGGGCAAGAAGCTGTTGAAGGATCTCAGCACTTGGGGCATTGGGGGCCCTTGTAATTATTTTATCCAAGTCTTGGATCAAACCCAACTTGTTTCTGCTATCAGGTTTTGCTTTGCTTTTCTTTTCTAGTACTAGTATGTATTATATAATGCGATTTTGATTGTGGGTTCAAATTTAGGAAGCTGAGTTCTGGGTTTTTTCTTGTGGGTTATCAGATATGCTTATGCGTTTTACCTGTCTGAAACATAGTCTGTCTGTTTAAGACCATTCCATTTGATCTTTCTGTTTTGCTTTTCATAAAGACAGAAAATTGGCATCAACTTCTGTTTTGCAGTCAAGATTTTTGCTGAGTTAATAAAGTAAACTAATTTATTCATAATTGGCATTAAATTCTGTAAAGTTCTTGCTTTGTTAACAACTCTGCAGATTCTGTCATGAGCATTCGATTAGGTTCGTTATCATTGGCAAAGGCTCAAACTGTTTATTTGATGATCTGGGTTTTGATGGTTGTGTCATACTCAACCGGATTGAGTTTTTGGAGAAGGAGGAACCTGGTCTATATAGAGTTGGAAGTGGTTTCCGATTTAACCGGTTAGGGGTACACTGCTCAAATGAAGGATTCACAGGGCTTGAGTTTGCTGGAGGAATTCCTGGTACTGTAGGAGGAGCTACTTATATGAATGCTGGAGCAAACGGGCAGGAGACTGCTGATGCAATACTTTGTGTTGACATTATAACAATGGATGGAAGGCTTCATAGACTTAATAGGACTGATCTCAATTTCGGGTACCGTTCATCTCCATTTCAAGATATGCAAGAATTGGCATCTATAACTGCTGTTAAATTTAAGCTGCAGCCCTCAGGATCAGCAAAGAGAAGGCAGTATGAATACATGGAAAGGTAGTTAACATTAACTAGAGAAAAAGTGAGAGATAAGTTCTCCTGTAAGACTCCTAAACTTGTAGATGCTTATGGGTTTAGTGTGGCTAAATTTGCAGGAGAAGAATTTCTCAACCAGTTGGGGAACAAAGTGCTGGCTCGGTCTTTCGAAATCCACTGGATGTGGGAGTTGCTGCAGCTGAGTTGATTGAGAAAGCTGGGCTGAAAGGCTTTAGAGTGGGAGGGGCAATGGTATCCAAAATGCATGCAAATTTCTTCATAAATTGTGGTGGCTCAACCTCTCAAGACATGCTCGACCTCCTTGCTTTAGTGAAGGAAAAGGTTGATCAGAAATTTGCAGTACAACTTAAGGAAGAAATATTATATGTCCACCCGCATCGTAACGATGTGAAATCAAAACAAAGATAATGACTTGTCAATGTATCTGATGAAGAAACTATGAGATCAGTGCTTGCAAAGGCACACCATATAGATTTGCAATGCTGATAAAAGTAAGAATCTTCATTCAAATAAAAAAGATTAGTGCACAACCAAAACACCATATGAGCAGCTTCTTTACTTTGAACTTCAAGTAGTTGTTGTAACTAAAAAAAGTGGTTTTCACTTGTTATTTTCAAGCCAATCAAGAATCCCCTTCTCTGATTTGGTAAGCTCCCCTTGCTTCGCCCTTATAGTTCCTCCCTCAAACTCAAAGTAATCCTTGTAATTGCGCTTATAGTAACTGTCCATTCTCTGCAAATATAGTTGCGTAAGAACAAGACATATAAAAGAATGAAAATTTGCATTATTATTCCTCTAGCATATGAGCAAAATGCTGAAGAATGACTTCAAAATCTTTGGCAACACTTCCAACTTATGAAGAATGCCATGATATCCAAATTCACAAGAAAAGGGAAATTCAAGAAATTTTTACCTCCTTGTCATTCTTGGCCTTGTTCTCTTCTGACTTCTTCAGATACTCTGATACAAATTTCAATCACTACTAAGTCATATAAACCAAGAAAAGAAAAGAAGGAAAAACCCAACAAGAAAAAAAAACACGTGGGCAACCCATAAACAAGCAAAATAAGCACAACGAATTCATCAGAAGAAAAAAAAAACCCCCAAGAAGATAATAACATGTGCTGTACTTTTAAGAAGCTCAGCCCCAGATTCACTGACAGGGGGAGTAGCAAATGCAGCAGATAAGAGCAGCCCTCTTCTTCCAAAATCGTTGGCTGCCTTGGAGGAAATGGTTTTCTTTCTATCTTTGCGTTGCCTTCTATGGACTGCCTGCACATTAGATGAAGCAAACTTGTTCACTGTAACAGTCAGGGCCATCAATATGCTTTGGCCTATTGAGCTCATGGCTTTTCCACTACGACCACTGGTTTTCTGAACATGTAGATTATGATGACGACGATGAGGCTTTCTTTGTCCATGTAATTATTCAACTTATCCCTTGGGTCTTGGCTCTTTGATTACAATTCCACGTCAGCACGCTTCAGCCTGAAGAAGGCTTATTATTGTTACTTTTACCATAAGCTTCCATTTTCATATTTACCTATCTTTAACATTTTTGTTGGTTTTAAAATCAGTATTACAGAGAAGTTTTCTTAAAAATTGATGTGAATCAAGTCATACAAAAAGTAATAGTTGCGGAATTAGCTAGGTCAAGAGTTCGATTCCCTTTTTCCTTTTATTGTACCTACCTACACATTAATTACATTAATTCATCGCATTGCTGACCATAT